TAATAAATATATTTCTCAATTTTATAGAAATTGGTTAAAGAGTTTTCAATTTTTACAAAATGTTGTTAATTAACATGAATATAACAGTATTTACCCAAAATACTTTAAAAAATCATGATGAATTAATTAATAACAATATTTATTAATTTTTGGTAATTTACTAAATGTATTTATTAACTTTTGGTAATAATACTATTTAATATTCATTGAATATGGGTTGGATTAAATATTAACCGTATTTAACTATTTATTAATTAATATGTATATTTTAATTAGGTTGGTAATGGTGACATGGCTTAATGGGAGTGGTGGGAATGGGAGAGGAGAGAGAGAGAGAGAGAGAGTCAAGGAGAATGCAGGATGGGGGTAATGGAGCAAGGAGAAGCATGTTGACGTGGACCGTCTTGCTATATATATATAGATAGATAGATAGATGGTAAAATCACAGTAATATCGATACAAGGCGATATGCCGGTAGGACGTATTGGTACTGTTTTTTTCATTCTTTTTGTTTGAATCTAATTCAAAGGGGTCGGTTTAAGGCCGATCTAGCTGCTGACCCGAAACACCCCTGGGCATATCGGGAAAGCCCCGATACGATATATTCAAACCCCCTTGGGTAAAATCATGAGATCATATATTCAAACCCCCTTCAAAAAAAACGATAAATTAAAAACTTAAGACACCATTTTTCGATTATTTATTTACCCGGTTACCCCTTTGAAAATTAGTCGCTGACGTTGCTGGTACTGGGAATTGCCGAATTGGGATTTATAACTTGGATTTGGATTTAGATTTTGGTCGAGCAATTTTGGAGCTCGTCTGTTGGGCTGGACCTAGAACATGTAGGCCCATCCCTAGCAAAAGTGGCATTATATATTTTGTATTCGCGTCAAGACCACTTGGAAAGGTGCACGGTTCCATTTTGAAATAATTAAATAGGTTTGGACCGGGCTGTGGTCGAAGACCCCGTTCTGAGTCCAATATGAATGTGACCGGCGACCGGCAAGGAAGAAACGAAGAATCCACTCAGCAGCCGGCGAGCAAAACGCAAAGTTCCATGCATGCCACATTCACATGTTCAAAGGAGAGTTTTGGGTAAAATGTGGTGGTTTTGGTRACCTACTTGGCCCATGCCCTTTGGACCGGGTCTAGGAGTCAATGGCTCAACACATGCCCAATTTTGTGTTTTGTGTGGACCACGTCCAGTTTCTAACTTTAATTCAGGTTAAAATCTATGGTGCCGAAGAAAATACCTGATACCGGAAAAAATGAAATGCCACATGTTGCGCGTGTGAAAGGAATGAGTCGGGAYCACCTGTCAATAAAATACATTCCAACACCCTCCCAATTTCATCCGGCACCACACATCTCATTCATGAGGGTTCCCACTTTTATGACGGTGATTTCTGTGTCAAGGTGAAATGAGTGGAGTCATATTAGGAGATCTCAACTCGAAAGGACAGAACAGTCGATTTGTCCATATTTGGGCCAAAATGATCAGACAGATTGAAGAATGAAATCCGTCCAAACGGCATAATCCATATATATAGATTGAAAAGGCCTAATGGGCTGTAGGGRTGTCAATGGACCGGTTTTGGATTGGACTTCATCCAAATCAAAAATCATATGGACAAATTGGATAGACCAATAAGATATATTGAATTTGAACGGATTGGATGGACCAATATGATATATTAAATTGGTCCTGATCAGTCTATAATAAATTTATATTGGATTGAGCCAATATCTAATCCATTGATAGAAGATAAGAACATAAATGTCAATGGACCAAGTTTGAATAGAAACTAATCTAAATTAACAGGAATTTTAACAGTTTGAACAATCTCTGGACCAGTGTAAAATGGTCCAAAATATCCATTGGACTGGATTGGACCAGGTACATTTGTAATGGACTTTAAGTGTAGTGCTGATATCAAATATGAAATACCCATACACACATCTACCCTGGCAGCCACGAAAGAGCGAGCGAACAATTTTCAAAAATGGCAAGCAGCTAGAGGGGATTCCAGAACAAAGACTTTTTTGATCGAACCTGATTGGAATGTGCTGGCTGGTTTGATTTTGACAAACAAGTTTATACTTTACATGGATGTAAGCACATGAACGTCCCGATTCAACATAAAGTTAGCACTCAGCATCATCCCGCAGTTGGAACATTCCCTCYTTTTTCCTCTCCCGCCTTCTTTTCTACCCTTTCCTTTCGTTTACCCGTTCAGTCAGTCTACCGTAGATATCATGGTATAAAAATAAAAAAATAAAAGTTATGGGAGCATATATCTACGGTCCGCAAACGTCTCAATTTTAGGGGTGTCCATAAGAAACCGAAAATTTGAGAAATGAATCCAAAAATTTTGGTTAATTGAATCGATCGATTTGGTTTCAGTTTGGATTTAAAAAAAAAATCGAATGATCAGTTCGATTTTTTATTAACCTATCAAAAAATCAACGGTTAATCGAATCAACCGATTTTTATATATTATATATTTTTATTTTATTTTAACATGTTTTCCCCTCTCCAACGGCCCGGCCCAGCCCAGTCCGCAGTGCCCTTTTACTCTATCTCTCAGTCCAAGCCCAAAAAAAATGAATGTTTTTCATTCTGTCGAACCCCAAAACAAAACCTCTCTTATTCTTTCTTCTTATTTGAACAACAAAAGGCTAGAAAACACTCGCCAGAAACCACTACTCAATTTTAGCAAATGCGAAACGGTTTACATAACGTGCAGATTCAGTCATCACAAAATTGTGTTCGCATCATTTTTATAGTTTTTTTAACCGTGTATCGATAATATTTTTATACTCATGCGAGGGTGTTCCTTACTGCACGGCTGAAAAAGACTATTAAATGGTGCAAACACAATTTTGTAAGCACTAAATCCGATTTATAGAAATGTCCATTTGTATTTTTAAATTACTTGAATACCATTCTCCAAACACTATCCTCACAACTTTTTAGTATCTTTTTAAATATATTATTCCAAATCCCCATTTATGTTACCATATTTTCTTTGTATTAATGATATTTTTTTACCTGTCACTGTTACCAGTAATACAAACTTAAAAATTTATGAAATGGATGAAATTATTCTAGCCCCTAAGTATGCATATAAGATATTTATAACAGTTTATATATCTTATGGAGGAAAGTATTACTGAATTTGCCCTGTTAGCTTTCAACCAAAATACATAAATGGTCGAAATGCATGTTGTGTTGTATTTCCAACCATTATATAGGATTTTTTTTTTTTTAATAAGCTATAACAGAGACTCCAAAGACTTGGGATCTATCTTTGCTGATAACAGGGTGGGGATATGGGGACGAGCTACCCATCTCTCGGCTTGTGTAAGCCATCCCCCATGAAACCAAAATGTCAACCATCCACTGTGTCAAGCCCAATAGTCACAACTCACAAGTAATGCGACCTCCTCCCTGTTATCTGAAAATCTGAAATGATATACCAAAGTTTCATCTATTTTAGCCGATTCAAATAACGTATCAAATCAACTAAGATATGCCAAGATTTTTACAATTAAACTATTTGTATTAGACCAGACCCAAAAAAAAAAAAATCTAAGCCACTACAGATGTCTCCCAAATGTAATAGATTAATCTCATTCGCTTAAGTGATGCATGCATATATATTTAATTACAATTCACGATACTCTAAAATTAGATTGATACATTATTTAGGGGCCCTTTTTTTCGATTTTGAGAGGGGAATGGATTTTGTTTATGGAAAATTTCCGATTAGTATCCTGTATTTTGGGCTTAGTGCTACTTTGGTCCCCAAGTTTTAAAATACGATAATTTAATATCTGAACTTTCATAACGTGACAATCTAGTACCTACTGTTAACGGTTTGAAAGTTTGGATACTGAATTGCATTTTAAAGTTTTGGGACCAAAGTGGCACTAGGCCCAAAGTACATGGTACTAATCAAGAATTTTCCCTTTTGATTACAATTGATCAATAAACTCTTTTCTGTTTTTTCCAGATTTATGTGGGGATTAGGRAAAATTTATTTACTTGGRTATCACTTAACCGGGACCATCCGTATACTATTTTCCTTTAAAATTTTATTTGCATTAATTGAATGGTTATGATCAATTGAAATGCTGGTATGTATTTATTAGGACACCATTTTAATATAGAAGGCTTGTATCAATTAGAATAAGGTACACTATAAGATATGACTTTGATAGATGAAAACTTTAGGTTGTTTTGATACATTAATTACATGACCCGGGAATTGGTACAATAGAATATTCAATGTGGTTTTAAAAAATGATCTAGAAATGAAATCGTTTTGACCACCGGTTTTTAGGTGAACGGTTTGATCATCCGAATTGAATGAATGGCTTGTTCTAACAAAAAAGTTAACAAAATAAAAAATAATAAAAAATCGTTGAATGAATTAACAAGTTGATGGTTCAATCCCCCAGATCAATGAGTCATTAACTAATTCAATGGTTTTTGATAAAAGATCAGCTTTGAGATAAAACAGAACTGATTGCTTATATGGTTCCCATGCTGTTCAACCCGACTGTCCGGATCAATGGCAATTCGAAAACCATGATGTTCAATGTCACTAATCACTAATGTTAGGATACTATATTGATATAACATCGTGAGGCTTCATTTTTATGACTAAGGAAGGGCAATAGTGTCATACAAATTAAGAAGAAACATTATAAAGTTGTATATGTATTTCCCCTATTTCTTYGAATATTGGAGAAAATTTTGAGGGAGAGTCTGAAAAAAATAAAAAAAAAGAATCTAGGGACGCGGGGGCAAAGAGTAGATTTAGCTGGCGCCCGATCCTTGAGAGATATTCCGGAACTGCAGCGGTGGATCTACAGTCACTTTAATCAACGGCGAGAGCCAAAGTCATTTGATAGATCTAACGACTCGAGATGAATCTCTCGTAGGTCGAGAGAGGCACAAGCGTCCATATTCTCCTATTAATCCTCTCGTGAATAATTTCCTCGGCTCTCTCTCTCCAATCCTGGTTCTGCTCCCCCAGACCAGGCCCTCTCTCTCTCTATCTCGCCCTAATTTTTCGATCAAACACTACTTTCTCTGTTGAAGAAAACTGCGAAACTAAAACTTGAAGGACAAGAGAGAGGGAGGGGGAAGCTTTGAAGAAAAGAAACGATGCAATCAACGAACGGTGCTGATCCGCAGCAGCCACAACCGCAGCACCAGCACCACCCGCAACAGTGGATGGCGATGCAGTACCCGGCGGCGACACTCGTTATGCAGCATCAGATGATGCCTCAGCACTACCCTCAACCCTACATGCCTTACCATCATCACCAACAGCAGCCGCAGTCACAACAGCAGGGATCCAGCGACGAGAATAAGACGATTTGGGTTGGTGACCTTCATTATTGGATGGACGAGAGTTACCTTCATAACTGCTTCGCTCACACCGGCGAGGTTAGTTCTTCATTCTTTTCCTTTTTTTTTCCTTATAGTTTGCGAGAAGGAAAAAAAAACTGTTCTTTTTTTTTTTCCTTTACTGCTTAGCTGACCTTATCTTGTTTCAATTATATGAAAAAGATGTGACGTGTGTATACGTAGAGCCCTTTAAAGGGTTTTCCCCACTAATTTGCTTGGGATATAAATGTGATAGTAGCTAGAGACGTTATTTTTGATGGAGTTTGACAAGTCCATTACAATGAAAGGGTCTTCCTTTATTTGCATATGGCATTTGCTCTGAGATCTGCTCGTTCTTGTTGTTGGAGAGAAACATCTTTTTAATCTCATATATGCGGCTGTTATTGCTCTTTAGTTAAACAAGTTTCTACTATGAGCTGATAGTTTTTGATCAAATCATATTAATGTCACATTTGGAATACAGTTGGATTACAATTTGAATGATATAGAGTTTTCTTAATGCAATGGAGCATTGTTTGGAAGGGAATCTCCTTTTCTTTTGTATCTTGGGAAGCTTGGAGACAGTGAGTGATGGGGTACTTTTGAAAAGAATTAAGTTGTGGTGGGAATAGAAATCCTGACTTTCTGAGTACTACTTAAGGAAAATACAATTGTTCTACTGTTGCTAGGATGTGGAAGTGGAACCAATTCTTTGAACTCTTTTATGTCCAATACTCCTGCGCTCCTTGCATTGGCTGAGGTTGTCTAAGAGTGGATTCTTCTTCTTCGCAGTGGGATCACCGTCAGACTGGTTTTCATGGGTGTCCGTTGGGCAACACTAGTCCTATAACCTATACTGATTGGTAGTGGGTATTTGCCACATGTCATTGGGCTTAAGGAGACTCGGGGAAGAGTTTTTATCTTCTTTGGGGGCTAAACTTATCTGTTTATACTTTATATGGACTATGAGAGCCTCATCGTTCAGGACATTCATAGCTAGTAATTGTTTGTGAGAAAAATTCATGGAACTTTTGAGGTTCGATGAGATTAGACAGTTGTGGTCTTCTTTTAGTATTTGTTTAGATACATTCCAAGATCTAATGAAATTGAATGAAAGGGAGCTGCTTTTCTAGAATAATCTATTATAATTAACTGATCCTTGGCATAAGCACAAGTAAGTTAACCAAATATTGTCTAACTAGTCCACTAGAATCTGCAAACCAAGATCAAGCTTTTAGAATGTCTTTTACTAAGTGATTTATGGAGGACTTTATGATTGAATCTAACAAAGGGATGAACATGGAAAACATTTCTAAGCTGTTTAAAACTCAATTAGTTTATATTTGGTTTGATAGAAAATAAAGAAGAAATAGAAAGTCGAGGGGGAGGTTCTTAGAACTTTCACCAAATTCCTTAAGAATTTTCCCTCAACTTTATGTTTCTCTCTTATTTTCTATTAAACCATATAGCTTTAGGGTAAAAATTAAAAACAGATCTGTGGCCTTGACAGTTAATAAAGCCTAAATAAGACAGTGAGCTTTTCTAATAAGCTCAATTGGGAACCAATCAAGCTGCTGAAATCAAATTTGAATCATGGAATGGATGGCTGAGACTCAAAATCCTGATTGTGAGTTGATTGAGCCAGCCAGGGTTAATGTGCTTGCAAGTTGTTTGGGCCAAATTTCCATCATTTCAATAAATTTTCATGTTACCATTCTGAAAAAAGATGAAGTAAAATTTTTTCAGGGACATTTGCATTTCACTCTTAAACATATTAAATCTATCTGTGATAAGGGCCTTTATACATAGGAAACTTGATTTGTCTATGATTTTGCACAAATGGTCATTACCTTGTTGGAATAAATAAATAATATGGTATTTCGCACAAAATTTTCAAAGATTATAGTGGTTACTTTGCAGAATTTGTCATTGGGGCAGCTAGGCAATGGTCTAACTAAAACCAACTAACCAAGTGAATGCCATTCTTCACAGTGCTTGGGCAACCCGCTCTGAGGTCCAAACATGCTTGGATTTGCAATGTCAGTCATGTTTTGCTCCTTAGGCTCAGTTTGGAAGGAGTACAAACACAAATATGTAGAGAGCAAAACCTTGTATTATGTATTATTTTGTATCTATTTTTACTTCACATATTTTTATTTGTACTCTTTCCAAACTAAGCCTTAAGAATTAATTGAGAAAGTTCAGAACAAATCACAGATAACCATGTGTTCATTTTTATGCATGCCCATTTATGGGCATCTATTCTTTTATTTCTTTCCATTTTATGCTTTTTTTGGCTTTGTAAGTGAACAAGAAATGGCTGCTCAATTTTCAATGCTTTATTTGTATGTTGTCCTTTTTCATCCTTTTATTAGGCATTTCTAGCTATTATGTCCTCATATTGTATTGCCTTGGATGTTCATCTTCGCACCTCCTTTGATATACACAGGTTGTCTCTATAAAGGTTATTCGCAATAAGCAGACTGGCCAGTCTGAGGGTTATGGATTTGTTGAATTCTTTTCACATGCCGCAGCCGAAAAAGTTCTCCATAACTACAATGGCACTGCAATGCCTAACACAGAACATCCGTTTCGCCTGAATTGGGCATCGTTTAGCATGGGTGAGAGGCGCTCAGATGCTGGGTCTGATCATTCTATATTTGTAGGAGATTTGGCTGCAGATGTTACTGATACTTTACTGCATGAAACATTTGCCAGTAGATATCCATCTGTAAAAGGTGCAAAAGTTGTCATTGATGCAAATACTGGGCGCTCAAAAGGCTATGGTTTTGTTAGGTTTGGTGATGAGAATGAGAAATCACGGGCCATGACAGAAATGAATGGTGTTTATTGTTCTAGTAGGCCTATGCGTATAGGTGTTGCAACCCCCAGGAAGTCATCTGCATATCAACAACAGTATTCCTCTCAAGGTATGGAATAATAATTATCCTATCTCTTCAAAACATCTAGAACTTTGCTGACATTGTTTTGCCAGTTAATTCTTCTATAAGTTGGTGGTGGCATCAGGATTATTTTGTTCCTTTCATCAACACATCTTTGATTGACTGGTGAGAGGCTTTTCACACTATTCTGGCTGAAAGATTAAAATAAAGATGTAAAATTAAATGGCTTTCAGAAAACTTGCCTGTGCATATTGTCGGATGGGGATAACAGAATAAAACACCTTATTGTGCTGGTATCTGAAAAAGTCTTTATTGAGGATAGCGTGTTTTTTCTTTTCTATATTGTTTGCAAGCCAATGGTTGTTTAGCGTTAAACATATATCAATCAATTGAGCATGGGTTGATGCTTAAACCAAAAAGCCTCCTCGATGTCTGTAAAAGCACTTTAAAGGCTGAACAAAGGTAGACTTGTTGGTTAATGAGATTTTTCTGTGGTTACATCATTATCATCAACTGTGTTCAATTGCTTTGCTCCATTTAGTCATTGTCTTGATAATGCTTGATATGGAGCATCAAATGTGGTTTTGTTTATGAGGTCATCATTTGATTATTGGCAGAGAGTGTGTTCTATTCACACAAACTCAATTGTAGGAGCCCCTTGCATTATTTTTTTTCTCCATTCTGTTACTAAAACCATGACTAGGTCTAATCCAAAACCTGATTGGGTATTTTGTTTTTGTCATCACCTGAATTATGAATCCCTAATTACCCCTCCAATTCCTAAGGGACCTGCATTGCCCACACTACTACCATTAAAATTCAGTTTCATCCAGCCACCAAATGGGGGTGACTAATCCACACTGAATTGTTGTCTTCTAGAGGATGAACCAGCTATTGCTCCCCAAGATCTGATGAATTTTTCCACCTTAAAGTCTGAGAAGAGTTTCAAGGTCTTAACCCAACATACCAATTTTATGGTGATGATCTTTTTCAAAGTCTCCTTACCCATTTCCTTGTCCCAAAAAATTCTTGAGTTTTTTTTTTCCTTCCCATACTGTCCAAACCACCGCTGCCCTAGTACATTTCCATAAGATCCTGCCCCTTCTTTTAGTGCGACTAAAAATAGAAGGGCAAACCAACATTTCGAAGCTGGCAGGATCGCGGGAGGGTTCCATCTGCAACCAAAAAGTGAAAGAAACCATTCTCAAATAAAGCCAACAAAGGGTCAGAAGATTAAGAGATGAAAAGCAGTCTCACTATTCAACTTACATAAGAGGCACCAGTTGGGGGACAAGTGCCCCTTTGGTCTTTTTCTTAGAAGCAAATTACAAGTATTAATGCAACCATGAAACACTTTCAAACAATGTTATATGGTGCATGTGAATATCCTGCCCCACACTTAAGGTATTCTACAAAAGCAGCATTTGGTGATTAGTGCGTCCACTTTGCTCATCCAAGTCAATATTATTATTATTTTTTGATAGATAAGTCAATATTAATAATTAATGATTGATTTTCTTGATAAATGTATCGTACAAATTTGTCTTAAAAGTAAATAGTACATAAGTGTAATTTATACAACATTCTCTAATCTTTTGTCTTTGGATATCTTGAAATTCTGCCAATGTTCAGTACATACATAAATGAGACAAAATGCACCTGCATACAGTAAAAGTATGGGAGTTATTCAGTATAAACATATAAAACACAGATAATCTGTATTTTAAAAATATTATATATAAGAGATAAATATATCTTAAAAATTCAAGAAATATGTACAAAAATGTATTATACATATATTTACATATAAAATATTCCATAATTTTTTAATGGAAGCATATTAAACATGAATTGTCTAGCCAATCTTTTACTAAATCAAATTGTTCACCTAATTTTTTTTGTTCTTGATATCAAATTGTACAGAAATATATTCTATACTGTATTTATAAATTTATGCATTATATATATTTACTAATTATGGTTCAATAATTTGCTTCACCTTTTATATTATAATTTTTGTATTAATTTTCAAAAAGTCACAGAGAAAATTACTTGGGACTGCTTCATTTGGAAGTCTCTTCCTACTCATTGTTCCAATGTTGGAAATGCAAAACAACTGCCATGTTTTTTATTTCTCAATTTCAATTCTAAGATAGTTTATTTTGTGTGGACAATAATATCAATATTAATATTCTTTTCTCTTTTAATTTCTGAACAAGAATTGTAGGTTGTTTCTTTAATGTTAAAACTGCCCTTCATTAAATCAGTATAAATCTCACAGTTGGTGTCAGCCTTATGTGCATCTGACTACCAAGAATGGTAGTTTTTCCAAGCTAGGTGGCTGCAAAAAAGATGGTAGTTTGTACAACAGAAGATTGTGAAGTTACAAGGCCTCCATTAAAATTTATCGACTTCTACCATTTTGGAACACTGAACTAGCAATGCTGGTACTGGTATTTTTGTCTTTTTGTCATTGAGGTTGTTCTGTGCTATTTTGAAATGTTATGCAGTGAATAGGAACAAACTTCCGAATAAGTCATCTGACAGTAATTATCCCAAATTAAGGGAAAAAAAGGCTTTACATGGGCCTTCGCACATGGGGCACACAGAGGGCTTAAGGCTTATCTAGTTATTAAAGAGAGACTTTAAGATGATATTGATTCTTTTCAACATTTCTTCTTCATACCCAGTCTCTAACCTTGTAAGGTATTTTCCAGGGGCCTTGGAACATTCCTCATCCACCTTGTAACTAATTGTGGGTCTCCCTCCATAGACATCCTATCATGGCCCTTGGATGCCGATAACTCGTTCTTGTGTGCCAAGGTAATAATTTGCCTTACCAATAAAAAAGGGGTAACAATTGACTTGTGCAGAATCAATTGTATTGGCAGGTCATGAATATGCTATATTATTACCCTTTCTAAAAGCTCGTTCAGTGTTACATGGGGAACATCCATCAGAGTTTAGCTCAGTAGAGTTCACTCTAACTGGTTTAGTATCACTTGTGTCTTTATTTTGTGAGAAGACCTGACCATTATACCCACTTTGTATTAATCAAATCAATTGTGATCATTCTGGAAATCTGCAACGTAAAAGAGAATTTGGAAACATGTTCTTAGAGGGAAAGGACTTGGGCTTCTAAAAAAAGAACATTACAAAGAAGGTTCATCTGCAAGCTGGACATGGAAAAGGAACAAGGTAGAGATAAAGATATTGGGGCTTTCTGAATTTTAGATGTGAAAAATTGGTTTTGAGGTTTGTCAACCAAGTAATGCATCTGTAACTAAATTATTCATTTTCACTACTTTGTCCATAGCTCATCTTTTTGGGATTTATTGTTTTTATTGTATCCTGAATCCTGATAACTTTAAAGTTCTTGTACTGGTATTCTCCACGCTTCAAATATCCATAAACCTTAAATCTTGAATAGGACAATAAGATGAAAATATTTATTAAAAAACTATAAGATGAAAGTGCAGAACATATCTTCAATACTTGCATTACTTGTATCATCATCATCTAAGCCTTGTCCTAACTATATGGGTTGGCTAAATGAATTCTGTTCTGCCATTTCATTATGTTCTTTGACATATAGATTGTTAATTTATGTTCCCTTAAATCATTCTCAATACTTCAACCCATATCGGTTTCGATTTTGGTCTGCCTCTACCTCTTTTAGCCCCTTCAACTTGTAACAGATCACTTCTTACCAGTGCTTGTGCATTAATCGTAATGTAATGCTTGTTGTATATTTATTGGAAAAGGACAGGTGTGGCTTTAGGGTGTTTTTTCTTTTTGTCTTTTTCATTGGTATGTGTCTAAGTTTTAAAGAATGATATAAATGGAAGGTGATGGTTCCAGCCAGCTTAATTGAAGTTCTGGGATCAAGTCCTGCTTTTATCAATCCTGATTGCTGACCACTGACCATTGAGCTTATACATCTGAAGAAACAAAAAGCAATGGAAGGTCTTGTTCCATATTATCTAATGGAGAATGTATCATGTTTAGAATCTCTTGGGGCTGGCCCTGGTTGAGGTATTCAACTCAACTCAAAGAAGCATTGCCCCAACTATATGGGTTCAGCTAGTCAAATATGGTTTTTACCATTCCACCCCTATATATTAAATTGAGTTTTTAATCATTTCTCACTATGATAATGATAGAAAAATATACCTCACTACCTTATGTCCTTTTTGGTTTGCCCTAGCTTTTCTGAGAAGTAAGTTCTTTGGCTGTAGTTGTTATAGATTGAACATGTTTCCTCAAACTTGTGTACATTGGGGAAGTACAATGAGAGATAATAGACAATGTTGAACAATGCTATTACAGTTTTTTCTCTTGCTACAGAACCTTGCCTCTCAAGATCAAAATATCCACACTGTTCAAACTAATGGAAGCATTGTCATGAAATGAAATTGAATGAAATTGTCTTCATATCCTCTTCAGTCTTTTTGTTTGGTAGGTTTCAATCTTGTTCTGTTTCTCTATGCTTGGTTGTGTGGTTTAGGTTCATGTTATGAAGTATTTATGTACTTGATATAAAATCAGAACCATTTTGTATTATAGTTATTCATCCTTTGTTCTTGCTGATTGAAGCCTTAATTATGAGGTAGAAAGCTATGACATTCTCTCTCAAAGCCACTGCTTCTAATCCATATTCATATACAGAAATCTTATCCCATTTTCTTTAATTAGCTTTGGTGTTGGTAGGTGGATATGCATCAAATGGAGCTTCTGCTCTGGGTGGACAGTCTGATGGTGATTCAACTAACACAACAGTAAGTGCAACTCTCTCATCTTGTTACCAAAAAGGCTGTTCTCCCCTTTTACCTCATTAACCCAAGTTACTTTGCAGATATTTGTTGGAGGCCTTGACCCCAGTGTCACTGATGAAGACCTCAGACAACCTTTTTCTCAGTATGGCGAGATTGTCTCAGTAAAAATTCCAGTCGGTAAAGGGTGTGGTTTTGTGCAGTTTGCTAACAGGTACACCTAGCAGTGATCCTGATTTTCACATGCAGTGAGATATCAAAGTCAATTAGCTGAATGATCAACACCTATTGGCAGGACTAATGCTGAGGAGGCATTGCAGAAGTTGAATGGGACTGTAATTGGAAAGCAGACAGTTCGTCTTTCTTGGGGTCGCAATCCAGCGAACAAGGTAAACTGGGTTGTTAACAATTCAAATTCTGAAGATCCATAAAGTCTCTCTCTCTCTCTCTCTCTCTTGCACACACACACAGGCACGCACCTACGCTAAAGGGTAAGGCAATAAAGATGACAAGGGAATGCTACTTATTTCTCAGTTCAATGTTACCCACTCATGCTATTTGGAGAACTTATTGAATCTAGAGTTGCCATTTTCATTCAATTCAGATGGCAACTTTTATTCTGACAAAGATGTTTGTAATATATGTTGTGTTTGACAGTTGAGAGCCGATCCTGTTAACCAATGGAATGGAGCATACTATGGGGGCCAAGTATACGATGGATATGGATATGCTGTGCCACCACCTCAGGACCCAAGCATGTATGCAGCAGCAACCGCATATGGAGCTTATCCCATATATGGAAACCACCAACAGCAAGTTAGCTGAATTGCATCATCACTTTTAGCTGTAGCCATCAGAACACTATTGCTCTATTAGTCTATTTACTGTAGGATGTAGCTGCTCCAGTAGCTATGTAGTTTGCAGGATTTTTAATCAATCATCATGAAGCTTTCATGGTGAACAAAAGTTGAATTTTGACTACCCCGATTTGTTTTCTGGGATTCAATTGAACTTGTCTTGGAAATTTTTGAGATTTTCTGTATGAGCTCTGTTGACCATGGCAGGGAGCTGAAGTTGGTGGATGCCATCAAATTCTCTTGTTGCATCTTATTCCTACGGTCCCTGTTACTGGAGTCTGGAAATGCCTGCAACTGCAGGAAGTCGTTGTGGCGATATGATATTTCGTTTTGGGCTTCAGGTGGACTGCAATCTTCTTCTATCATAACAGAGAATTGCAATCTGTATCTAAAATCAAATCTTCCTCTTCTCGGAGAGGCGATTGTGCCCGGAGAAGTCGTTGTGGCGATATGATATTTCGTTTTGGGCTTCAGGCGGACTGCAATCTTCTTCTATCATAAAAGAGAATTGCAATCTGTATTTAAAATCAAATCTTCCTCTTCTCGGAGAGGCGATTGTGCCTGGAGCTCGCGTCAGCTGTGATACCTCCTTGGGTTTAGGGTTTTGTATAAAAAATAATATATTAATTTGCGTAAATCAATAGGTGGTTGGTACGAACTAAAAATCTCCCTTCACAGTATGCAGTATGGTTCTGAGTTTTTTTAATAGGATGTATCGGTATTTAAGAATTTCAGCTTAATTTTTACGCATACAACCTCTCGCCTCTCGCATAGTCGAAGACTCCACGTTTCCAACCCACAAGCCACAACCTCGTTCAAATTCAGTACACACTCCAACTTCTATGAGCCAAATCTAGTTACTGATTTAGGTCTAGCGTGAGCCAAGACCTTGGGTTCTGTGCTGTTTTGTTTCAACTGGTGGTTCTAATTTCGTAAGAATGATAGGACAATTGGATTTGTAAGAGCAAACACTGGTTTAGTTTTCACACACGTTTTACTCGGTTTTGCTTGTTTGTAGTGCAAAGCCAAGCCTGCAAGGCTGTAACAAAGTAAGGTAAGACCTATGGCTTAGTTTGGAAGGAGTATAAATGCAAATATGTAGAGTGCAAAATTTTATATGTATTTATACCGTATATATTTGCATCTGTATTYTTTTYAAACCGAGCCTAAAGCAAAATGAATTTGCATGGAGCCTTGTCTTGGGTCCTGTTTGAGAATATGCATGTAAAATGAATTTGTTTGGGACCACACATTAAGTGGTTTTTAAGTGCTYACGGGTGTTTGGTAAAAAATTGGAGAATAAATACTTTTTTTTTAAAAAAATATTTCATTGAAAAAGTGATTTCAAGTTGATTTTTTTTAAGTCTTCTTCAAAAAAATAGGACGAACTAATCCCTGATAAATTTTTATAATGCCTAAAATACTCCTATGCCCAGAAAGCACTATTCATCATCTTCTTCCCTTGACATCAACACAGTTTACTTTCATTCTTTGTCTCTCATTCTCTCTAACCCATCCTAATCATCCCCCTCTATTCCCTAACGATATAAAAGGAGATTCGATAATCTTTCGAGTTCCCTATCTCCAAGACTCCATGCAGAAATCCTCAATTCTATAGCCAATCCACAAATTGTTGACGAAATTCTCTAACCATGGAATCTAGCATTCTTGAATCCATTGGCGTCGAAATTATCGGCGTAATGACCCCAGTTTCGATCTGCATGCTCCTAGTCGTTCTCTTGGTATACGCCCTGACTCCTTCCTCCCCCGACCCAACGCCATTCGCACTGCTGCAACGCTGGTCTACCTCGAAAACCCCTCTGACTCGACTACCCAAAAACTAGAAGGTGCATTACTCAACGCTGCAGTGTTCGTCATACTCATCGCTGCGGTTACCTTTCTCCTTGTGGTTCTGTATTATTATAATTTCAGCAATTTCATGAAGAACTACATGCGATTCTCGGCATTGTTTGTACTGGGTTCTATGGGTGAATCAATCTTTCTGTCGATAATTCAGTATTTCTCCATACCTATTGATTTGATAACCTGTTCTGTTCTGCTTTTCAATTTTACTATTGTTGGTGTTCTGTCAATTTTTTCTCGTGGATTTTCCAATAGTCTTGCGGCAAGGGTATATGGTTCTTTTGGGAATCATTGTTGCCACATGGTTCATTAAGTTACCAGAATGGATGATGTGGGTGTTGCTTGTGGCATTGGCATGTATGACTTAGTTGCTATTTTGGCTCTTGGTGGACCACTGAAGCTGTTGGTTGAGCTGGCCTTGAACCGAGATGAGTCATCGAAACAATACAGCCAACAAAACCACCCTTCACTCTACTCCCTCTCTTATATCTCCACTTCAACTAGTATCAACGATTGCTTTTTCCAGCGACAAACCCGGAGAACCTTCGCTGGAAATCTGTGAGGATGTACTGTTCGACTAAATGCCCAAGAGAAATGTTGTTGCAGAGATAAACARATGGCGAAGAAGAAGAGAGAGAGGAAAGGGAGAAAGCTCTTTGTTTCCTTTTAATTATTATTAAATAGATCCACATGGCAGCCCGTGTGGGCTTTCAATTGAAATGTATGGTATAACATGTGAAAAGTATTGTATATACGTATGAGTGAAGTGAGGGTTAAAATTGTCATTTGCATAAATATAAGCACTTATGGGGAAAGTAACTTACCAAACATTTCCATCCTAATAACCATTTAAAAACATAATAAGTGATTTGAAAAAGTGGGTTTCCAAACAGCTTAAAGGGTTGTTAAAATAAGTACTTGTTCACAAGTACTTATTTTAACAAGTACTTAATCATCAAACAGTGCATTGGTCTTGGAAAGTTGATCCTAGTTCATCTCTCCTTTTTCTAACTCAAGTAATCTATGCACTAGTTAATACACTAGGGATTATGAAGAATTTACATTGCAGTGGGCTCTTGATTATGGGCTGGGCCCATTCAAAGTTTAATAAATTCCAAATCCAAGGTAGTCAGGTTGCTTGCCCCATCATGCCCATAAATTTACTGATGTAGCAATTGTTTTTGTTTTGAAAAACAAAACCAATCGTGTTGCCAAATGCCTCCTTAACCTGACCTGGAAATATGGTGTATGAATTTCATTTTTTCTAAATATCTATAAATTGTTTTGTTTGTAAAAGAATATATATTGAATGGCAATAATAGTGAGGGGGTAGCCCTCTCCCCCAACCTTATGCTCTGCTTGGTTTGAAGGAAAAAGTAGGGAGAGGAAGGGAAAGATAAAAAAATCTTTTACAAACCTTTTATAGGATTCCCTACCTTTCTCTACCATTTCCTTCAAACCAAACATAACCTTAGAGTTAGAGGGGTGAAGGCAGCACAGCCATGAGCCCAAGGTTCAAAATATTGTTACGCCGGTAGAGGTGTATCAGTAGTTTTTTGAGTTTTTTTTTTTAAATCTGGTTCAGAGGGGTTGGTTTAACGTCCACCCCCTGAACCGGTCAAAACCTCAATATACCCTATGTAGGGGCATATTGGGAAGCTCCCAATACGATACATATCGGTTGATATGGGTCGATACGTATCAATACTTTGAACCTTACATGAGCCAACACTCGATCCCATGTCTAGTAGCTAAAGGATTTACCAACAACAGAATAGCAGAATGACAATGATAATATGATGTTGATATAGGTAACATTGTACATACAGTCATACATTAGGTTTTGGAAGTTGGAACTGTTGTGCAAAATCTGGATGTCGAACCTACTAAACCCAATGTTGTACAAGGACAAAGGGTTGGGTATGGGTAAGCATATGGACAAATGGATATGGATGCAAATTAATCGGATCTTATTTGAATCAGGTATATTTAGATAYGATATGACACTATTCATTTTTTATTCAATTCTATCCATCAGATCTAATAGGAATCAATTTGAATTTAAATCCTATCAGTAAGTGGGATCTTCATATCTGTCCAATCCAAATTGTTTTCTTTAAAAATTAATACATTATTAAAAGAAAACTAAAATATATTAGTTTAAATAAAGTAAAAACAAAAAATATTAGTATTTTTAATTATTTTCATCATATATATACATATATATGTATTATATATTTGTTTATATTTATAAGTATATAATGTATAACGGAATATCGGATCAGATCTTCTCAAACCAGATAGAGGGTGATCCGAATCTGATTTGATATCTGATCAAATCCTATTATTCGATCCTAAGGGTCCGAACAGGGGTGATCCGAATTAGACCAAATAGGATCAGATATTGGATTGGATCGAATCATGATCCGATCCATTTGCACCCCTGCAGATGRATTTGACTCAACCACCCAACCAAACTAGGCTAGAGCAAGCCCAAGCCTGGTTCTCTTTATGGTGTACCATGTATGGTTGAGCAGAGCCCAGACTCGTGTGGGACATTGGGACTCTGAAAATGTATTGATGTTGTTTAAAATTAAAATAAAGTTATTTATTAAAAATTTTTTCTACCGTTTCATGGATATATTAAATTCTACCTTATAGTTTATATTTTATTAAAACATCTTTATAGTTTGAATATAAGGAATGTTTTAATAAAATTCAAATTATAGAATAAGTTTAATTAAATATGTAAAATTATAAGGAGTATTCTAATAAATGATATTAAAAATTAAAACAACTACTTTATTATCGTGATTCGTGATAATCACTATTTCTGGTAACTGATGTTATGCATAATGGACGGTTCTCATTAACAGTGTTAGACTGTCGACTCACAAGCATACCAAGACGAGAGAGAGAGAGTAAAATAATGACAAGGAAGAGAAAGAAATGTGGTGGAACGCGGCGACGGACAAACAGGTGGCCGTGTGGTTAAAGAAAAAGGAAAGCAGGGAATCTCTCTCTATCTCTCTCTCTCCAACACGTTTCAATGGCGGGATCCTCTATTCTCTCTCTGTCTCGTCCTCCTCCATCTCTGCTGCTTCACAGGAGATTTCTCGTTCCCTCTTTCAGAGTCTGTGCTTCTTCCTCTTTTTCTCAGAAGCCGAAGGTCGTCGTTACAAGAGAACGAGGCAAGAATGGGAAGCTCATTGACGCTCTGGTAATCTCTCCTTTTCTCTTCTCCGTGTCTATTTATGTCATCACCTCTGTGTCTGTTCTATTGTTAGGCTGAGTAGTTGTTTTGATTTTTGAAGCTCTAATTCTTAAAATTGGGAATGCTGCTACTGCTAAGTTATTATTTTTCAATTATTTCGGTTCAATTGTCAAAATTTACGTTTAGAAGAAGAAATTAGCACTTGGTAAGATACTCTTGAGTGGATATTTATAAAAAAAAAGATACTCTTCAGTGGATCGTCTTTATATTAGTGTCAAGGGAGAGATTTAAGACACTCAATTCATTTGGTCGCACTTTCACGGTATTTGTAACTTCGCGTCAAACCCAAGGAATTAATGCCATTTCATGATTGCAACTACAACTAAATGTTTTCCTAACGGTTTAGAAGAAGAAATTGCATTTCCTGTTTTCCTAACGGTTCTAAATTCTAATTTCATATTGTCAGGGTCTCCAATTTGTCGTTTTTAATCTCAACAAGCATTTCCTGTTTTCTTACGTTTTTGTCTCTATGACAACATGTCTTTAGAGTAACGCCCTCCATTCTGTAGTGTAATGCATCTCTTTAGTACACCAACTCTTACTACTAAGTCGTCTAGTTTATGATAGAAATTACCTTGGTTGCAGATAAAAGCACTTTGATTCATGGTTTCATGGTCATATTCATACAATGCCAGATAATTACTTTAATGATAAAGAAATAGTTTAGGTAGCCTAAATTAGTTTACAGTTGGATGCCATCTGCTGATTTTTGTTTTTCTCGTTCTCACTCACAGACCAAACATGGAATTAATTGCTTGGAGCTTCCTCTCATTCAGCATACAGAAGGGCCTGATTTTGACAGACTTGCAACTGTATTAAGTGGTAATTTCTAATACCTTGTTTATATTTGATTTTGCATTTATATATGACAACTCTTCAGGTGTACCTTGATATTTATTTCAGAATCAGAAGCTTCATATGTATCTTTTCTCCAAAAAAAAACATGTTTCTTTGTGTCTTCAATAATCTTGATTGATCGATCAARACAAAATCTTGATTGTATAGAATTTTGTTACTTATTCTTTTGTGTGCACTAAGTAATGTATATGTGATTGTTGGGCATACTTAATTATGCATAATGTTACTAAATCAGGATTTATTTATTTTTAGTATTTTGGTGGCTCATTTGCCTTATTTTAGTTGTTGAGATATGATGATTTTTCATCACAGATTATGTCTTAAGGACATGCATAAACGAGATATGTAATTGATTTCTATGTTTTTCTATTTCTTCTTTCCAACAGTGACTGAATTTGACTGGATTGTTATAACTTCTCCTGAGGCAGGGTCAGTGTTTCTTGAAGCTTGGAAGTAAGCATTACAACTTATTTGAAAAAAAAACACTGCAATAGCAATATTGAAGTTATAGTTTCTTCTTAATAATTGATAGAATGGGAAAGATTGGGTAGAAAATATAAAACTCCAAATTACATTGCTGCTGATCTAGGAGCAACTCAATCCTGGGGGCATTAGGCTAGGGGTGATCATTTTCAGCCTGGCCTGGTCTGCAGACTCTGCACACACATGTATATATTATTTATAATATGTATATATGTTATTTTGTGTTATGTTTTATATTTTTTGTATAAATATTATAATATGACACATATAATACATATTATATATTCAAAATGAATTTTATACATACGTTTTATGACATATAATATAAAACGTTATATATTTTAATATTTTATAAATAAGTTGTAGGCCTGAAACCTGGCCCGGCCCATGATCACTCCTACACTAGGCTATCCACCACTAGATTTTTTTGAGCCCACTTAGAAGGTGAATATAGCTGTAAGCGGAACTGAAGCCCTATGTACCTACCCTTGGTTTCACCAATTTTCTCTTTGGGCTTTCTATTGGAAGTTATCCTCTACAGAATGATCCAATGCTTTGGTTTGGTTTGTCTTTGAACCGGTGAAGACATCTTTGTCTATTATTTGTTCAGCACCACTTGGATTTTCTTATGATTCTTTCACAAAGTATCATGATTATCCATTCAATATATTGTTGCAACAATGTTACACTGCTTTATACCATAAAGGGATTTAAGGATTTTTTTTCTTTTTGGATAGGAAACGGTAACTTTCATTAGAGAATTGAAAAGATTACAGACTTACCACCCACAAAATGGATGAAAAAAAAAAAAACTTACAAACAAGCCCAAAACAAAGCCTCCCTAGTAGCTCCTTGCTTAGCTAAAGTGTCAAGCATTCCATTTGTTGACCTTCTTACCCATTTAAAATGCACCCCAATCTCCCTTGCTAAGCTATTAATCTCTCTTAGAGGCTGTCTAAGAGACCAATCTCCCATTGTTTCACCAGTCTCAAACCTTAAAGTAAGGCCACTACTTCTGCCCTTAATGAATCTCTCACCCCAATTGGGCCCGAGTAAAGGGCCAAGACTTTTCCTTCCTCATTTCTGAATACACCCCCGACTCCCGACTGACCTGGATTACCCAAGGAGCTTCCATCAAAGTTTAGCTTCACCCTGAACTGAGGCGGTGGTACCCAACTTTCTTGTACCATAGGGGAGGAAGGAGAGGTACAGCTGTAGCACTCCAATTTCTAATTAAGTTAGCTGAGGAGAAGTCCTTGAAGAGATGATGTACTTTCAGCCATGCATAACCTTGATGGTGATAACCTCAACAAGTGCTTCCTTGGATTTTTCTTGCCCTAGGAAGATCCTATTGTTTCTCTCTTCCCAAATTGACCATAGGATGGCTGTTCTTGTTATTCTCCACATTACCCTGCCTCTTTTCCTTAGTTGTTGGAAGAAGCTAGAGTCAAAAAAAGGTTCAGCACACCCGAGGGGGGATTCCATCTGCAACCAAACAAAGAAGAGAACCAATCCCACAAATAAGAAGCAAAGACTAGAAATCAAAAGATAAGTCGCCGTCTCATCATTTCTTAAGCAAAGGTAACAGACATGTGGGGAAAGGCACCAATCTAGCCTTTTTCTTTGAAGTACATCCATAGTATTGATCTTTTGAAGAGCCACTTCCCAACAAAAAGCCCTAACCTTWGGTGGCACAGCAAATGCCAAACTTCTTTAGCAAGAAAGGAGACAAACACAATAGAAGATTGAGCCAAGGCATTGAAAAAAGATGAACAAGAGAAAGTCCCTGAAAAAGACTCTTTCCAAATTCTATTGTCTGGGCATGAAAGATCTAGGAAAACTGAACTCAACACAATGAGCAACTCATCTGTAGAAGCCAATTCTGAATCCCTCAACCATCTTCTCAAACCCAAATCCCAAGTCCCCTCAGACACACAAAGTGAGGAGATGGTTTTGAGTTTATTTAGGGAAAGAGAATACATTACCGGGAATCTATCCTTAAGGGGGGTGTTCCCAAGCCAAAGGTCCTCCCAAAATAGAATTCTATTACCTGAGCACACATCAAATCTGATGAAAGGCTGAAAGGAAGGCAAGACTCCAGCAATTGCTTTCCAAGGGGAGAAATGAGAAGCCCTAGGGTCGATGCCAACATCCCATCCATTAACTGCCATCCTGTGAATACTTTCCACCACCAAGTGCCACAAACTGTCTTGCTCCAAAGGAAATCTCCACAACCACTTTCCTAACAAAGCTACATTTCTTAATCTGATATTGCCAATGCCTAGACACCCCCTTCCTTTTTCCTATAAACTACTTCCCACTTCACTAAATGGTCCTGTTTTGAGTCACCCGGTTCCCACAGAAAGTCTCTCATGAGCTTTTCTAACCTGTTGGCAACCTTGGCAAGAAGCTTAAGGGTAGACAGAAAATACACCGGAAGGTTGGCCAGAGTGGACTTGATTAAAGTGATTCTACCCCCTAGTGAGATAATTTCTCTTCCACCCTGCTAGCTTCTTAGTGAATCTTTCCAAAACTTTGTACCAAAAGCTTTTTGTTCTAGGATTTCCCCCCAGGGGCAGACCTAAATATACCAGAGGCCAACCACTTACCTCACAACCTAAAACCCTAGCCACCAAATGCACCTCATCTTCCCGTAAATTCACCCCTGCTACACAACTCTTGTTCCAATTGACTTTCAGATTGGAGACTCTCTCAAAATGCATCACCACCAATCTCAAATTATCCATCTCCTCAATTTCCCCTTCACAAAAGAGAATGATGTCATCCACCAATTGGTATTATGTTCATTTAAAATTGACTTGGTTGGAATAAATTTTGGTTTCTAGGGCTGCTGGAACCCCAAAAGTTCAAGTGGGTGTGGTTGGAGCTGGTACAGCAAGCATCTTCAAGGAAGTGATGCAGTCACACGATCAACCTCTCACTGTTGCCTTCTCACCATCAAAAGGTATGCTCTTCTCCTCCTGTTCCCACAAAAAAAAAAGGAAGAAAAAAAAATGCATGAGAGGAAAATTACATGACACTATCTTTAGCAGCTTGCTGGTTATGAAGTTTTTTCATTTTAGCATCTTTTCACTCCTCCAAAGAGACATAGTTTTGTATTGTGTGCGCTTAATGTTACTTGACTTTGTTTGACACAGAACATCCCATTTCTAGAAGAACCATAACTTCTGTGTTTTATCCATTTAGTCTTGTTATACATAGTTACAAACACATTTTTGTTCATGTTCCTATAATTTTATGTAGATTTACTTTTATATATATATACATATATATTTATAAAGGTGTACTATATTTAAATATTTTTATATATGTATGTAGTAATAGAGATAGGTTGCAGGACAAGTTGTTTAGAGAGGGGAACTTGTGCCAACATAATGAGGGAGGGTCCTGAAATTTCCTTCTTTGTTTGTTTATTCATGGTGCAAGTTTCATTCAATTGCCAAAACTGCCTTTATAGTCATTCTAAGCCCTTCTTTTTTGCGTTTTGATGCGTTTAGATTACACTAGCAAGTGCACTAGCCGATCAAGTAATATACTGATGAGTAGAGTATCGTTCCCACGAGGATTAATCCAACAACTACTAGTACTAGATCTGCCTTATGTTATTTGGCAGTCCGAAATCTAAAGACTGATTTCCTAATTAACGAGCTATCCTAGGTATTCTCGGATTAGACCACCTTAAGGAATTAGAGAAAGTGTTTCACGAAAATGCTAGCAGAACCGATTCAGCAATTATATCATTAAGCTATCCAACCGAAGTTGATTTTAGCCATGGGTTGGCTATTTCCTAATTGCATGAGCAGCCTCTTTCGAGCACATACCCATCTATCTACGAGCAACAACTCTTATATTCTTATCAAGAATTTAATTGCTATAGATGCGTTAAAGACAAGGAAATCGAAGGAAGTCAATTCTTGATGAATGAATGCCAAACAAATCATGCAAATTATCTCTAAAATACATTCAATCCGTCTTCTTGATCAGTTGATCTGATTTCCTAAACCCTTTTTCAAGCAATTTAAGTAATCCAAGAAACAAGAACAGTTCGGCCAAAATTACTCTTATTGTCGAAAACCCTAGTCAAGAAATCCCAAGACTGAATCACCAACAATCGGATTAGCTTAAAAGATTAATTACAATCTGAATTAACATCAATCATGGTTCGCATAGTAGAAAGAAAGAAAGATTCAAACAAAGAAAGACCCTAGTTGAACCTAGGTTACCGAAATCGCTGAATTAAAGAAGAAGACAACTCAGAAGTTCTGCATCAATCTTCGATCTCCTTCCAATTCTCCTTCGGCAGCCTTGTGATCCTTCTTCTAGCACTTCTCTTTTTTTTTTTTTTTTTTCGTTCTTGTGTCAAGGGGTCGAACCCTAATTTCTTCTTTTCCTTTTTCTTTTATACTCTTTCTTGCAGCTTTTGGTTGATGAGTCCTACTCCCCTTCGAACTCTGCTAAAGCCAGCCGCCTCTTGGAGCCTCCCATAAGGCTGTGGCTGGGCCTCTCTTCTTGATGGGCCGAAGTGCTCCCCTTGCCGCTATATCAACATGCCTTTATGCTCTCTTAACCCTAAACTGTCCCAAATTCCTAGTTTCCTGAAATTCTGCTTAATTAGGGTAAAAACCATTAAGAATCATCATCAAAACCATGTATAAAGCAATAAAAACAATGTGTAGCATGCACACACATCACGTTTAATAATTAAAAACTGAAGCTTTCAATAGATAATATCACATGGGAACGTTCTCTTGAAGTGGATAACATAGGGTCGGTTATTTATAGAAGAATCCTAAATTATCTGTTCAGATAACTAATTTCCTATGTGGGTATGCACATAAAACAACTAAGATATGACTTCTCTGAAACTTGATCCCATGATTTTGGTATTCTACTGCATTGATGAGTCATCTGCTTTCTGTCACATATTCCAAAAAATTAAAAGTCAATTCTAAGACTGGACTACTATATTTTTCAGCCACAGGCAAGGTTTTGGCTTCAGAACTTCCCAAGTATGGGAGCAGAACATGCACCGTCTTGTATCCTGCTTCTGCAAAGGCTGGCAGTGAGATTGGTAGGTGTACTATTTCAGTTCTTTTTAATTTACCCACAAATGTTATCTTATGTATGGTTGCACATTCATTGGACAGATCATTATTTCTTGGATCTGCATATTTTTGGTATTCAAAAACTGATTTTTGATTGAAAGAGGTTCATTCAAGTATCCTTAAATTATGGTTATATTCTTCTATGAGCCATTATGGGTATCAAAGTTGAAGCATAAAGTTAAGGAAAAAAAAACAGCAGATCTGTCATCTATGTTTTTACATAGAAGCTAGACCACTTGTAACTGAGATAAATTGAAGGCAAACTCATAGCACTAAACTGCACTTCTTAAGTGATTTGAGTTTCCAAGTGCACAAGGTGCTACATTATGAATGACTAGATAACTAAGCTGAAGGACCTATTTTCAGCAAGAAGAAGAAGGAGAAGAGGAAGAATGACGTGAGAGCCAAAAAATCTTAATGCTGGCGGCACCCAGCAATGCTATTTAAATGTTAGGGCGAACAAGACAAAAATAAAAGACCAAAATGCCCTTCTGCGGCATATATTACATATTTCATCACTCCTCAAGTTGGGGCATAGATGTCAATCATCCCCAACTTGTCACAAAGATCATAATGTCGTAGTGAGCATAATCCTTTAGTAAGAACATCTGCAAGTTGTTCATCAGACCTAATTTAGGGAGTGCACACTTGCCCCTTCTCAATTTTCTCTCTAATGAAATGTTTGTCCACTTCAATATGCTTGGTTCTATCATGGAGAACTGGGTTGGCTGCGATGTTGATGGCAGCTTTGTTATCACAATAGAGTGACATAGGATCATCAAAGGGAAATCCTAACTCACTCAATAGGTTCTTGATCCACAGTAACTCTGCAACTCCATGTGACATAGCCCTGTATTCCGCCTCTACACTTGACCTGGCCACCACACTTTGTTTTTTGCTTCTTCAAGTCACAAGGTTTTCACCAACAAAGGTACAATATCCGCAGGTGGATTTTCTGTCATCCACTGAGCCGACCCGATCTGCGTCAATATACACCTCTACTCCCATGTGCCCATGTTTCTTAAAGAGTAATCCTGCCCCTAGAAATTTCTTCAGGTACCTAAGAACTCTGTATGTTGCCTCTAGGTGTGCCTCCTTGGGTGCATGCATGAACTCACTAAGGGCACCCACAACATATGCTATGCTAGGCCTGGTCATGGATAGGTAGAGAAGCTTGCCTACAAGTCTTTGGTACTGCCTTGGATCTTTCAAGAATTCACCATTGCAATCCCCAAGCTTGTGATTAACATCTATAGGTGTGTCAGCTGGTTTAGCTCCTAGCTTCCCTGTATCCTTTAAGAGATCCAGGGTTTACTTCATTTGGGAAATGAAGATGCCTTGCTGAGAGCAAGCAACTTCAATACCAAGGAAGTAACGCAAGTGTTCTAGGTCCTTTACTTCAAATTGTGTAGTGAGAAATTTTTTTAACCTATGAATCTCTGAGACCCAGTCTCCAGTGATGACAATATCATCTACATAGACAATCAAGGCTGCTGTTTTTCCTTGTTCCCTGTTTACAAAAAGTGTGTGATCAGATTGGCATTGCTTAAAACCCATCTGTTGACCTGCTTGATGAAACCTGCTAAACCAATTTCTCGGAGATTGCTTTAGACCGTACAAAGATTTCTTCAATTTGCAGACTTTCTATTCACTTCCCTTGGCACATAAACCAGGGGATTGAGTCATATACACTTCCTCTTTCAAATCACCATTCAGGAAGGCATTCTTTATGTCAAGTTGGTGAAGCTCCCATTCAAGATTTGCAGCTAAAGACAGGAGAACCCGGATAGAGTTCATTTTTGCAACCGGAGCAAAAGTCTCGGCATAATCAACTCTATGCACTTGTGTGAAACCTTTCACAACTAGCCGAGCCTTGTACCTTTCCACAGATTCATCTGCCTTATGTTTTATAGAGAAGACCCATTTGCACCCTACAGGTTCCTTTCCCTTAGGAAGATCTACCAGTTCCCACGTGCCATTCTTGTGGAGAGCATTGATCTCTTCTTTCATTGCATCTCTCCACTCAGGAATAAGTAAGGCCTCCACAACACTCTTGGGAAGGGGAATACTATCAATGGAGGATAGAAAAGCACGAAAGGAAGATGATACATTCTCATAAGATAAAAAAATGAGATATAGGGTGGTGTGTGGTGCATGATCTGACACCCTTTTTTTTGCAACAGGGAGGTTCATATCACAACTTGAAGTGTCAATATCAATAGGTTCAGGAACATCAATTGGAACAATAGTACCTGGGTGGGGTGAAGGATCCAACCCCTGAGATTCTGATGGCATTGGTGGCATGGTTTCCGGTGAAAGACACGAAATGGGGGAGGCTCAGGAATGAGGGCAACAAAATTTGAGTCTGACTCTGTTTCTCCTCAACTCTACTTTGGGAACATCTTCAAAGAAAGAGACATCCATAGAGACAATATTTTCTTGACACAGGTTTCAAACAATGATAGGCTTTCTGAGCAAGGGGATAACCAAGAAAAATACACACAATAGATTTGGGATCAAGCTTACCACGAGTAGGAGAGAGATCATGAACAAAATACTTACATCCAAAGACCTCCATAGGGATAGGAAAAAAAGGAGCTTTAGGGAAAAAGGAGCTGATGAGGAGGCCTATATTCCAATACCCTAGATGGTGTTCCATTGATGACATAGGCAGCAGTTAGAACAACATCCACCCAAAATCTTTTAGGAACATTCATCTGTAACATTAATCCTCGAGCAACTTCAAGGAGATGTTGATTTTTCCTTTCTACAACCCCATTTTGTTGTGGGGTTTTGGCACAAGAGCTCCTGTGTTGAGAGCCACAAGAGGCAAAGAAATCTGTGAGGTCTCCATGGAAATATTCCTTGGCATTATCTGATTGGAAGATTCAAATCTCGGATTGAAATTGGGTGTAAACCATACGCTGAAAGTCTTTCACAATTTTAGGAGCTTCCTCTCGTGAATGCATAGGGTAAATCCAAGTGTTGCGAGAGAAGTCATCAATAAAAGAAATAAAATACTTGTAACCATTCTCAATTGGAATATTAACAGGTCTCCACACATCTGAATACACAATTTGAAAAAAAAATTCCGATCTTTTATTACGTAAAGGGAAAGAGGTTCTACAATGTTTACTCAATTGGCACACTTGACACTGAAAGCCACTAACAGATAAAGACTTAAACAACTTTGCAAACAAAAACTTCAAAGACTCAAAAGAAACATGGCCCAAACGATGGTGCCACAAAATAATCTGACTCTTATTTGACAGACTCAAAGACTCTGAAACTGTAAGACCAACTTTGTTCTCCAGCACGTAGAAACCATCCACCATGTTCCCTCTACCAATCATCCTCCCGCTATCCAAATCCCGAAAAACACAAGAATGTGGAAGAAAGGTTACTAAGCAATTGAAAGCATGAGTAATACTACTAATGGATAACAAATTAATAGGTAATTTTGGAACTATGTAGGACATTAGATAAGGAGAGGCCAAGGGGCAAAGATATAGATCCTTGACCAGCAATGGAGGAGAAGGATCAATCTGCTAGCTTCACTTTATCTTTGCCAGAGAGAAGAAAATATGTTTGAAACAAGGTTGACTTACCAGTCATGTGGTTGGATGCATTGGAATCAATGATCCATGGGGATTCCGAGTTATCAGTAGACACACAGAAAGCTGAGGCAGAATTACCTGAGGAGGAGGCAAAAGAAGTAGAAGGTGTGGGTCCAGAATCAGCATTGCGGAGAGCCCTACTATATTTCTCTAGGTGGTCACGGAAGGAATTGATAATATCTTCCTTTGGGTCAGAACAAGGGGGGCAGCCCTGAGAAGTACTTTGATGTTCATGAGATGCTAAGTGAGCCGAAGTACACTTCCTCTGATATGGCTTCTTGCTTGTCTCTTGTGCTGACTTCTTACCCAATTCCTGTGCCCATTTCGGTTTCCCATTCAATTCCCAACAGGTTTCACGGGTGTGCCTAGGTTTTTGACAATGAGTACACCACATTTTGTCTTTATCATCTGTCTTTTTATGATTTTCCCCTTTTCTCGGTGCCCCGTTGTTACCCCTTACAGCAAGGGCAACCCCCTCAGGAGGATTCATGGCAGACTTCCTACTCTCTTTAGAATGAACAAGTGCATAAACCTCTTGGACAGACGGAAGATCCTTGCTGCCCAGAATCTGAACATGAATAGGAATAGGTTCATATACGGGATTCAAACCTAGAAGGAAAGCGAACACCCTTTGTTGTGAAACTAACTTTTTATATGCTTTAGCATCCTTTTTCGCTTTCCCACTCAATGTTCTGATAATAGTCAAGTTCTTTGCAAACTGGAGTGAGGGCAGAATAATATGTTGATAGGTTCCTTCTCCCTGCTTACATGTCGAAGATTCCGCTTGTAGCTGGTAAATTCTAGCATAATGTCTCTGCTCTGAGTAAGTTGCTTGTGCTTGGTCCCATATTTCTTTTGCAGTCTTGGCCCACATAAAATTCTGTTTGACAGATGGTAGCATGGATGTCAAAAGCCAGGACATAATCATGCAATTTTCTTGGTCCTACTTATCGTATTCTGCAGTACCAGCCCTAGGTTCCTTTATTTTCCCATTAATATATCCTGCCTTACCCCTGGCTGTGATATACAGCCTCATCTCCTTAGACCAGGCCAGGTAATTCCTACCATCCAACGGGGTGATAGTCATTGGGAAATTCATGGAGTCATGACCACTACTCATTCCACTGTGATTCATGGTGGTTCCTGAAGTTGCAGACTCTTCAGTGTTCGTGTTTTCAGTCTATACACACCACAAGAGAAGACATAGCCCTCACTCTGATTAAATAACAATAAAAGAACCAACTTCTGCTGCGATACTGGCCACCTGAACACTCTCACAGGTGTAATAGGTCCTCCAAGGCTAATATTAGCCACAAACATCAGTAGTCAGCTGCTGTACCAGTCAGCCGAACCAGGTCACTCATGACCTACAGATTTCCTCACAAAGAAAAAAGGGTTTTCTGGATCATCCGACCCACAAAGGGATTAAACCCGCCTTATATCATTCGATCAAGGTAAAAGAACCTTAACCTGTTCTTGGTATCAGCACCAAGAACCAAAAAAAAAATTCAACGTGTCCCTGATCAGTCCGAGAGAATTCTAGGTTTTCCAGTAACACAGTAGGGAACAACAGAGAAAGAAAGAACAGCCGACCTTTTAGGAAGATTCAGCCAATCATCAACGACTCCTGGAATTGCTTCAGTCGAGTTTAATCCCAGAACAGACGAAGGAGATGCAGTCGAACAGTTCTCAGGTCCAGAGCATCAGTGTGCTTCCTTTGTTCTCAGTCCAGAAGTCACAGAACACTCAGCCGATGCAGTTGAGGAGATTTTACAGAGCACTGACCTGCTCTGGTACCATGTTTTCAGCAAGAGGAAGAAGATGAAGAGAAGAGGAAGAAGAAGGAGAAGAGGAAGAATGATGTGAGAGCCAAAAAATCTTAATGCTGGCGGCACCCAGCAATGTTATTTAAATGTTAGGGCGAACAAGACAAAAATAAAAAGAAAAAGACCAAAATGCCCTTCTGTGGCATATATTACATATTTCATCAGGACCCATCTGCTTAAACCCAACAACCAACCAATTCAGTAAGCAAAATATGAAAAAATCTTGAGTTTAGTATGCTAAAAAAGTCTTTCAGGATAGGGGAACCCAATAACCAATAAAAAAGGATAGAGGAACTTGATATGCAGTTGAACCAGGTCAAGAAGTTCAAGATTGAACTTGACCACCATCTTAGAAGAACTTCTCTTTGATGGTAGCAAGAAAAAAAAGGGGGGCTGATTCAGACCTGGGTGTGTGTGAAAAACAACAAATCTCCATTCAACAAAAGGATCTAGACTAGAATAATTAAAGAATCAACAATTGCACAAGATTTGCACTTGACCATGCTTGCATACATATCTACATGCATAACTCCATTTCTTTTCTTATCCTTTTATAGTGCAAAATTGTAGCTTAAAATGTCTTGACATTTGTACTCTCCTGGACCAATGGTTGCAAAGTTTTTTTTGGCTGGTGGATGCATTCATGAGTTAGTAGGAATTGTCTGTGTTTTGACATGTTATATATATATATATATTATGTATGTATAATTGCAGAGGAAGGACTGTCAGGTCGCGGATTTAAGGTGACAAGGCTAAATACATACTCCACGGTAAAAGAATCTCTCTCTCTCTCTCTCTCTCCTGTGCAATATGTCTGTTACCCCAAATCTTTTGTGCAGATATACTGAACTTATTTTAATGAAAATGTGCTTTCTCCTTTTTTTTTTCCTAATCAGCATATGCTTTCTCCTTGGTATCATGAAAGGATAAGTGCAGTTTTCTTTATCCCTTGTTTTTGCTGGAAAGTGCTCAATCTTATTAATCTGTTCCTGCTGAAAACATGGACAGTTAGGTTGGTATACCCGGATCCTTCACTTCTACCCCYAAGTACCCATGTCAAATCATGCTTCTGGCATGGGTACAGGTAGGGGAGATCTGTTGGACCTCACTTTTTTTATATGGTTAATCCTGAGTTTTGGTAAATTCTGCACTCACTCACAGAATTTGGATCCACACCTGGCATGAATTATCACCTCATATTGTTATGAAGTGAAATTAGAAACTGAAACTTGAATACTCACATTTCACAATGTCCTACATGGCTATGCCCATGTAACCCCATGAACTATAAATATAAGTATGTGACAAAGTTTATTGTCATCTTACCGATTGCAAGTTCATTATTGCACCCTTTTTCTAGTCATGATGTTCTTGTTCTTTTCTATTCTTAATGAGATGGAAGTATGCATGAATATCAACTGTAACCCTTGGAACCAGGGTATCAGCATATACAGTAATCTGGTATGTTTACCTTCCCCTCCCCCCTCCCCCCTCCCCCAATTGAAAAAAAAATGACGCATATAAATAGGTTTCCTGCTTTGTGCTTTGGAATTGGCCTTTTTTACATTGAATTTCAATATTGGAATATATCTTTTTTACACTTTCCAACTTTTCTCCCATTTTGAATGCAAAAATGTTAGAATTAGAAAAGACGAACTTTCATTTTCAGTACAAAAAATGTATTTTTACCAAATGCCTGCAAAATTAAACCGGAGTGCAAATCTTACCAGATGCAGTCCTAGGCACATATGCATACCTGGCACATGCACACCTATATAACAGAGATGATAGGCATTGATCATGGTTTAATTGGATTGACTTGTCCCAGTTTAATCAGAAGCACCACAATCATTGTACAGTTATTTGTATGATAACTTTTGAGAGATCTTGGTTTACACGTAAATTTGGAGGGGATGCCTTTTCTCTTTTAACTGGAGAAGGATGCATGTGGTATATGTGAATGAAATAACTCTTTGTATAATGCCAAAGTTATCCCTGTATTTTCAGTCCACCCTTCCCAAGGCCCTGGAGAACTGGGACCAACATTTGGTAATGGATTTTATAGTGATTAAATACATACTGATAGTTTCTCTTCACAACATGTTGTCCATAGTGATTAAATACATCACCACCTCGAATTTCTATTTCCATTTCTCCATACTCAAAGAATGCTTCATCATCATCATTATCCATGCCTTATCCCAACTATATGCGGTCTGCTACATGAATCCTGTTTTGCCAATCCATTCTATGCACATGACCATACTCAAGGAATACTTGAAGGCTTAAATCAGTCTGTCTAACAAGGTTGCAGTCTTCTAACTATACTTTGAACATTTAATGGTTGCAGTTTGTGAGAATTGTCTACTTTCTGAAAGGATGACTTTATATGCCGAGTTTGATTATTGTTACCGTTACTTGTGAGAACTTGTTTGTTTGCTCTACATGTGAAGACTTGTTGGACTGGTTGGCTGCTCTGTAAGATATGAGTGATTTTTCTTAGTTTATCCTTACAATTCTTTCCATCTGTGCAGGTACCTGTTCATGAAGTAGACCAAATGGTTTTAGTACAAGCACTTTCTGCTCCAGTTGTTGCAGTAGCTTCCCCCTCGGCAATTCGGTAAGTGATTGCTTACATGCTCATTATTCTCTGCTTCTTCCAAGAGACTATTGTGATGATCTTTGAGTATGTGATATTGTTCTGATAATTAATGAATCATTGTTACAATTCAGTATCCTCTTCCTTCTTTGCTCATCATTTTAAATCATCTAGATTTGCATGGTGTTGGACTCATTAATGCACACGCTATTCAAACTGAAGGTGTTCTTTAATGTCTCCCAGTAAAGAAAATTCTTTCTGTTTTCCTATTTTTAACTGGTAGGGTATCTCCTATTTCATTCATTGAACCACATTCTTCTATTGCTACAGGGCTTGGGTTAATCTAATTTCGAGATCAGGGCAGTGGAACAATTCTGTTGCCTGCATTGGTGAGACAACTGCTTTGGCTGCAAAAAAATTAGGCTTGAAGAATGTGTACCATCCTACAAATCCTGGTCTTGAAGGGTATTCCTCATTCCTTATGCTGTTGGTCCTCTGAAATGTGCAGTAGCAGTTAACTACATTCAATTTTTATGTTGGAGCAACATGCTGGCTTGCATTTAATCATACACACTTATACAAGCATATGCAGTCCACATTTTCTTATGTCTTGGCTGGTAGGGGTTAAATAAGACTGAAATGCCTCTTTTCATGGGCATTCATTTGCTAGACAATTATGCACGGTAGATTGGCAGTGGAGGGTGGTTCACAGAATGACATAGGGTGGCTAGTAATGGATCCTTGCAGATTTTGCCATGTCATTAGAGAAATTAAGTCTTTGCCTCATGCTGATCTGATAACCTTCTATAGACTGCCTAGGTGGCGAGATATATCATTCTTTCTTGCTAGATGGATAGCCTAGAGCAAAAAAAAAAAAGCAATGATGAGGAGGAAAAAATTTGCAAACCTCCCATTCATTAGTTTATAATAGAGTGACATTTCATCCATTTAGTCTTTCAACAGGTTTCATCTCCAAGGTTTTATTTTTCCCCCCATACATTGATGGGCTTTTCCTGAATTTCCAACTGACAGTGACATGCTTTCCATTTTGCTTTTTGAAATTATCTAGGAAACAAAAATTCAACATCCAAAATTTTGGTCCCTGTGAACCTGTTCTGACATCCTTCCCCCTGCCTCCACACTGCCACGCGTACATACACTGACACACACACACACACACATGAAAAAGAAAAAGAAAAGAAAAGAAAAGCTGCATTCAGCTACACCAATATATCCATTCTGTAGATAACTCGTATGGCAAGGCAAGTTACTGAAAAACCTACCTTACTGTAAAAATTTCACTGAATAAATGACCAAAAGGAGCAGGGTCGGCTCCTAAATGAGAACAAAAGAAGGAGAAGATTTGAGCTAAGAAAAGAATGGGAACAGGTAGTAAGAAGAGAAGAAGTTTACTGGAGACAGTGGTCTAGGGTCAGATGGTTAAAGGAGGGGGACAATAACTCCAGGTTCTTCCACATATATGCATCTGGGAGGCGGAAAAGAAATCTTATAACAAAATTAAAAATCGGGCAACGAGAAGTGGAGGACCCTAAGGAAATTTCTGAAGCTTTCTTATACTTCTTTAAAGATCTTTACTCAAAGAAAGAAAACAGAAAACTCTCCATAAGCTTTTGGGAAGGGTTTAAACTGTCGGAGGAGAATAGTCTGTGGTTAGAAAGAGAATTTCAA